ATTTCAAGCTTCTGGGAAGCATCTTTCTCTTTAATCCTAAAAACAAATATATTATTCAAAGATGTATGTTATTATATTTTTAAAGAAACCTCTATATAAGATCTGGGCTTGCCTTGAATATGAATATTCTAGACGAGTCTTGTAATTTTCATCTTCTCAGGTCATGTTCTTGGAAATCATGAATGCCTAGACTTTCACCACTAATGATAGGAAATGAGGGGAAAAAAGGGGGGGTGGGGTGGGGAATGAAGGACTCTTTTTGAATTAAGACAAAATACCCTGCAGGAAAAAGGTAGCAATTAAAATGATTAACCATGGACACTTTTGTGAAAGTTATCTGGTGCTCCTTTCCAGGAGAGTTTGAAACCCAAGAGTTTGATGGGAATCACAGAGAAAGTAGACGAACACATTGGACTCTGGAGCAGAGAAGAGTGAGCTGAGGAAGCGGCCAGGAGCAGCAGAGGGAGCTGAGCGCGGGGGGTGGGAGGCCAGGCCACAGGGGGACCAGAGGTCCAAGGACAGCAGCGAAAGCAAAACCACGTTCTCATTTCAAGATTGTCCTCTCATCTGTTACTCTGCGTCTGTTCAGGTCACACTACAGATGACTGTTGGAAAATCGTGTTTCTAAATAGTAAGCACAGCCGTAAAAATAAGATTTTTTAAAAAAATAAGATTTAGATTAAAATAATTAACCCTAGCCTAATTTTATCTATGGAAATAAAATGGACAGTCAGTACATCCTGAGAATAAAATTATTCAGAAGTGTTTTAGAGGCAGTTTGCATCGTAACTGAGCTGTAAAATTTCAACAGTGCTAAACTAGAGCTTTTTAGACTTAAGAGGAGTTCTTTGGGAATGCCTTTCTTTGGGATTGGAATGAAAACTGACCTTTTCCAGTCCTGTGGCCACTGCTGAGTTTTTCAAATTTGCTGGCATATTGAGTGCAGCACTTTCACAGCCTCATCTTTCAGGATTTGAAATAGCTCAACTGGAATTTCATCACCTCCACTAGCTTTGTTCATAGTGATGCTTTCTAAGGCCAACTTGACTTCACATTCCAGGATGTCTGGCTCTAGGTGAGTGATCACACCATTGTGATTATCTGAGTCATGAAGATTACAGTTCTGTGTATTCTTGCCACCTCTACTTAATATCTTCTGCTTCTTTTAGGTCCATACCATTTCTGTCCTTTATAGAGCCCATCTTTGCATGAAATGCTCCCTTGGTATCTCAAATTTTCTTGAAGAGATCGCTAGTCTTTTCCTTTCTGTTGTTTTCCTCTATTTCTTTGCATTGATCACTGAGGAAGGCTTTCTTATCTCTCCATGCTATTCTTTGGAACTCTGCATTCAAATGGGAATATCTTTCCTTTTCTCCTTTGCTTTTCGCTTCTCTTCTTTTCACAGCTATTTGTGAGGCCTTCTCAGACAACCATTTTGCTTTTTTGCATTTCTTTTCCATGGGGATGGTCTTGATCCCTGTCTCCTGTACAATGTCTCAAACCTCTGTCCATAGTTCATCAAACAGTCTGTCTATCAGATCTAGTCCCTTAAATCTATTTCTCACTTCCACTATATAGTCATATGGTTTTTCCAGTGGTTATGTATGGATGTGAGAGTTGGACTATAAAGAAAGCTGAGTGCCGAAGAATTGATGCTTTTGAACTATGGTGTTGGAGAAGACTCTTGAGAGTCCCTTGGACTGCAAGGAGATCCAACCAGTACATCCTAAAGGAAATCAGTCCTGGGTGTTCACTGGAAGGACTGATGCTAAAGCTGAAACTCCAATACTTTGGCCACCTCGAGAAGAGTTGACTCACTGGAAAAGACCCTGATGCTGGGAGGGATTGGGGGCAGGAGGAGAAGGGGACGACAGAGGATGGGATGGCTGCATGGCATCACCGACTCGATGGGCATGAGTTTGAGTAAACTCCCGGAGTTGGTGATGGACAGGGAGGCCTGGCGTGCTGCGATTCATGGGGTTACAAACAGTCGGACACGACTGAGTGACTGAACTGAAGAGCAGTTCAGAAATCCAGGCAGCTGTGATTTAGGCTCAAACAGTAAAGGCCTTGAAGGGTGAAACGTTCATTTTATTTTCTTCAGTTAGTCTCATTATTCCCCAGAGTATTGATTCTGCTCTCTGTGGCTCTGGCAGGTCTTGGAGGTGTTCATGTCTCACCAGCTGGCCTCACTTTAAAGCCAGCACTGTTGATTTCGAGTGGCCAGAATGCTTCCTGGATTCCTGGGGCTCAAACTGACCCCTCCGCCTCTTCTCTACCTGGCTTCCCAGGTGACTGTTGACACCTGCCCGCACACCTGGAATCTCCCAGAAGCCTCCTCTGCTGTCTCTGCATAGGTCCCCAGGAACCTCTCCTTCTGCACCCCGAACCGGGGATGAGGGACCTCACCGCCCACCCGTCCTTTACTCGCGGACATGGCTCCGCCCCCTCCACAGTCAGGCCTCCCCGTCTTCCTACACACAGCTGTGCTGTCCTCCTACGAAAAACAAACGAGCCCCAGCCCCTTCTTTCCGCACTTGCCCTCTAACCTCCAGCCCATCTCTCCGTTGTTTGGTAGCAGAGTCTGGACCCCTCGGCCCCGGCTCCCGTCCGTCCCCTCTTCTCCTGGGCTCCCCGGGGCACTGGGCCCACTCAGCTGGTGTGTGGACCACCGGTCCCCCTCACGCCCACCTTGACACTCTGGAGGTATTGATGAAAGCATCTTTAAATTAAAAAGTACTGGCCAACACAGATGCACTTCGTGAGTTTCGCCGCGGCCTCGGTTTCGTCGAGAGTGGTTTATCAATCACGGAGCCGTTGGGACTCTTGAGTTCTTGGGAGAGCAGACGCCCCAGGCCCGGCCTCTCTGGGGGCTCCAGGTCCGAGGGCCTCAGGGTCGCTGGGGAGCTTGTCATGAAGCGCAGGGCTGTGTAGTCAGCTCGGGTCCTGTAACAGAGCCACATGGGCGCCTTATTAGGAGCAGAAACGTCCCCCCGGCAGCTGGGGGGCGGGAGCCCCCACCCCCGACACACGCGCCTTCTCACTGCGACTGCGCACGGAGGTGGCGGGGCCTCTTCTTACCTGACCCATCCGGGCCCGAGAGCTCCGCCCGCAACACATTGACCCCCAAATGAGGCTGTGTGGGTTTCTCTCAGAGTGTCTGACTCTGTGCGACCCCACGGACTGTGGCCCACCAGGCCCCTCTCTCCATGGGGATTCTCCAGGCCAGAATACTGGAGTGGGTTACCATGCCCTCCTCCAGGGGATCTTCCCGACCCAGGGATTGAACCTGTGTCTCCTACATTGCAGGCGGATTCTTTACCATCTGAGCCTCACTCCAAACACCATCACTTGGAGTTGGTTTGCTCCCTGGAGAGATGGAATGAGAGAGGAGACCCAGGTACAGCTCAGGGTTAAAATTAAAGCGGAATGGTACAAGAATCAATATCCTGAACATCTAGGCACCCTTCTGAAAACCTTGGTCACCAGGTGTGCGCCTCCAGGCGGTAAACCCAAGGCCACAGCACTGGGCAGTCAGATGATGGCATGGGAGATTCCGGGAGCCAACACACCCGTCCTGGGCCTGCCCATTCTAGAGGGCCGCGCTTTAAATAGGAAAGAACACCAAAGGTCACCCCAAATGCAAGGCAATTTCTAAGGTGAAAAACAGACCAAAATGGGCTGGCTCAGCATGGAAATAAAGGGAACTAAGAAAAAATACAGATGCTCTAGAGAGCAGAAAGAAAACATGTGTGTGTGTGCATGGACACACAGACGTGTCCAGGTGTGTATGAAATTAATCCCCGGAAGCAGTGGGACCCAGAGAGGCCCTGGGCCAGCGCTCCAGCCGGTGCAGGGCCTGCTCCCCTGTGGGGCCGGTCCTGGCTCCCTCATGCCCTGCATGTGCCGCTGGGGCGGGTTACTGAACCTCTCTGCACCTCAGCTTCCTTGGCCCTTATCAAAGGGGGCGTGATGGTGCTGTTCAGAGCACAACAACAGAACTCTGGGAAATATAAACAGCATGGCAGAATTTTTTAAAAATCCAAAGTTGAGAAATCAGTACAAAATATTAATATCAAAAAGACAAGGTACTAGAAAATAGAAACAATAAGAAAAAGAGACGATAAACCTGAGAGGTCTAGTCATCAGAGCTGAAAGACAGGCGGATGGAGAGAGGAGACAGAGGGAGGGAGGGTTGGGGAAAAAGACAGGAAATGAGATGGTCATGACCAAAACCTCTTCTAGAACGAGGGCCACAAGGCCAGACTGACAGGGCCCGCGTGCTGCCTACACGGTGCATGGGAGGGGAGGCCGGCTCCTTGGCCGTGGTGTCCTGGGTGGGAGGATAAAATGGAGATTCGAGGCTCCCAGAGATAGCAGAGCGGGTCACACACAGGCCCGGAGCTTGAGTGCAAAGGAGAGAAAGCCGCTCTCGGGGTGTGGGCTGGTTCTGGGAAGGGCACCCCACTTCCCGGGCACAAACCCGGTGCGATTTAGGTGCACTTGTCACTCCAGGAAAGGAGTGCAGGGCAGGGGCGCCGACCTCAGCGCAGTGCCTCCGAGCCTCCCCTCTGCCTCGGTCAGGACCGTCTAGTGCTTTTCTCTCTAAACCAAGGGGAAGGGCATTACCTTTGCCCCCCTCCTCTCCACCCCTCTTCCCTGGTTTCCTCTCCGTCCTCTCTCCTGTCTCTCCCCCTGCACCTCTGCGCCGGCACACTTCTGCTGGATCTATTTCTGTCTCTCCTTCTCCCTTTCTCTTTCCACAGAAGTCTGTGTTTGCCTAATAATTGGCAGGAGAGATCTTTTTTTTCTCTTTTGCTTTTTAAGTGATGAATAGTTGGCATTAGATCAAAGGCAAGGCCTGTGGTTTTCTGGCTGCCCCAGAAGGGCGTTGCGGCTGGCAGCCGGCCCAGTGCCTGGTGACGGGCGTGTGCAAAGATGCCAGGCTGACAGGTCACTGTGTGTGTGTGTGTGTGTCTTCCTGTCCGTGTGTCTTTCAGGCCAACAGCAGGCTGAAGCAGATTGAGAAGGAATACACCCAGAAGCTGGCCAAGTCTTCTCAGGTAAGAACATTAAACAAAACAGCAAAACCAAAGCAAACAAGAAAGAAACCTCAGCACAAAGGGATTTGTACTTCACAACTCAACGCACTTCTTTTCAGTCTTTTTATGGATGAGTATCGTATTTTGATAAGTATGTGGATAAATAAAATAGGTTTTTAATATTTCAGTCTCAATTTTTAAAAATCATGCAAATTGAACCATTTCAACCAACACACACAGCCAAGTCACGGCACACTTGTAGTCAGATGTTGTAAAACCAGCCTGTGCACTTGGACAAGCCCAGGCCAAACCACATTTCACAAGGGCAGAAGATACACACCTACACTTGTGATAGAAATACTTGTGATACCATCTGAGCTCTTCTGCAGTGTTCCATTTTTCTTCACCTAAATGCTGTTTGAACTGTGGTGCCAGAGAAGACTCTTGAGAGTCCCTTGGACTGCAAGGAGATCAAACCAGTCAATCCTAAAGGAAACCAGTCGTGAATATTCATTGGAAGGACTGATGCTGAAGCTCCAATATTTTGGTCTTCTGATGCAAAGAGCTGACTCATTGGAAAAGACCCTGATGCTGGGAAAGATTGAGGGCAGGAGGAGAAGGTGTCAGAGGATGAGATGGTTGAATGGCATTGCTGACTCAATGGACACTTGCTGTATTTAGTCGGTCAGTTGTGTCTGACTCTTTGTGACCCCATGGACTGTAGCCCATCAGGCCCCCTCTGTCCATGGGATTCTCCAGGCAAGAATACTGGAATGGGTTGCCATGCCCTCCTCCAGGGGATCTTCCCAACCCAAGGATCGAACTCAGGTGTCCCACATTGCAGGTGAATTCTTCACTGTCTGAGCCAGCAGAGAAGCCCCTCAATGGACATGAATTTGGGCAAACTCCAAGATGCAGTGAGGGACCAGGAGGCCTTTTGTGCTGCAGTCCACAGGGTTGCGAAGAGTCAGATACAACTCGGTGGCTGAACAATAACAGCAAAAGGCTGCCTAACAACAAGATTCAAAACGGCAAGTATACCGAGTTAATTTAGCAGCTCAACCGTTGACTCCTTTCGGGGGAAAGAAAATTTACAAGCCCAAGCCCCAGCGATCATGTCTCCTGTGTGTTGTTACTGCAGTAGCTTTAGTAGAAGGTTTTCTGCACAAGTTGTTATAAAGATCTCCTTTGGTATCACCCAGGGGATTCCAAGCATTCCTTAGCTGTGTGAGTCATTCTGGAATAAACAAATACTGATTTTCATCTTACCGATGGCGAGATTAAGCCATTTCATTTTGTAGACATCATATCTAATGATTTTTAAATCAACTTTTCTTAGTATTTTCGCCATGAGTACAGTGAGATGTGGCAGGCAGCTGAAATGTTTGTGCCTTTCTACAGGTCAGCGAACAGTGGCATTACTGGCAACACCACAGCAAAGCGATAATAAAATTAAGAAATTTATGGGTCCCTGATCATATTGACTGGAGGAGGAAATGGCAACCACCTCCAGTATTCTTGCCTGGGAAATCCCATGGACAGAGGAGCCTGGCAGGCTAGAGTCCAGGGGGTCACCAAGAGTCGGACATGACTGAGCGACTATAAGACTGCAGCGGCAATCACAGTGACACCTCCAGTCCTCGTTCACGGGAACTCGGGTTAGAAACCATTCCTGGCCCCATCTTCTATTTGAGAAAACTGAGACTCGGGTGAGGTCACGCAGGTTAGCACATGACTAAGCCAGGAGCCAGCCTGTCTTCCAGCTGGAACGGAAGCTCTGAACCTGACACCACTCATCTGACCCAACCCTCATGTTGTTAATATGGCAAAACTCTGCTGAATAACTATGACATTTCTTAGGTTCTACAGTTATTGCTAAAATGTGCCTGTATTATATAGTCCCCATCCCATTGGGAAAGCAAGAAGTCTTTGTCTAAGTGAAGACTGATGTGTTTATCTGAAAGCTGAAGGCAATTCTTGATTGCCCTTTTCCCAAGAAAGAAAACAGGGAAATGTTCTTTTTAATCCACTGAGAAAGGTTCTTCTAATCAAAAGAAATCTTATTACTCCAAGAGCTAAACTAGAACATGAAAACACCCCAGCTGGCATCCCCTCACAGCCTGCTTACGGTGCTTTATGCTAAATGGGGAGGCGGGAGGCAGCTGAGAGTGAGAAGCAAGACTGCTGATGGAAATGCCAGGATGAGCAGGGTGTTTCGGTTTATCTCAGGGAAGGTGTGAAGGAGCCTGACTAGTCCTCGGTAAAACAGATGGAACCTGAGTGGTGTGGAAGCACGCCTGAGTCTTCTGAATACCTGCCCCACCACTTGGGTGACCGCAAGCCCGTTACCTGCCGCCCCCGGAGTTCCTGCGCTCACTTGTGAAGCAAGGAGCAGCGGTGCCCTCAGAGCCGCTGGGCGCAGGGAGGGCCTGGGGCCCGGCGAAGGCCTTCACGCTGTGAGTTCTCGCCAGAGCTCGAGGGACAGGAGAGGAGGGGGCGGAGGATGGAAAAGAATGGGAGGAGCAAGAAATTGGTTATTTTAAATTTACTTTGGGGTGCTCAAGAATTAATGAAACCTCCCTCCAAAATCTGGGGAGGCAGTGGGGTGCTGACCGTTGCCCGAGTAGGGACGTGCAGGAGGCAGGGAGCAGAAGTCAGCTGTGGCCACCGTCACGCACTGTGACCACCACCATCCATACGTGAAGGGCAGGGCGACCCCCGGAGAGAGGGTCCCCCCCGGCCTGACCTTCTCGTAAGAGGCAGGATGGGCTGACAGGACGAACGTTTCGTTTGCGCACCACAGTGTGAAGCTCGACATGCGTGTGAGTGCACGTGTATGCTTCCATCTGTGAACTGGCATTTGAGAAGCACTGGTCTACAACCCCGTCAGTTCAAAGAAGCGGATGATTTAAAAATAAACGTTATGAGACGGAGCTGTGGGCTGACTTTCACTGTTTTCTCGAGATAGTTTGCTGGAATCTCTAACGCGTATCTCAGCTGAGGGGAGTGCCAAAAGCAAAGCTGCTTAACTGTTTATCAGATTTTTAAAAATCCTTCTCTCAAAAAAAAAAAAAGTAGTAAGATGAACGCATTAGTAATGAATGCATGGTACCTAGGGGAGCATCAGGTTAAATTTGGAAAATATTTTCAATATTTTCCTTCCTTGAAGGAAGTTACTTCATCCTTAAGATTTTATCAAGCTGTAGGACATCGGGGCTCATGGCCTCTGCACCCTCGCAGACCCGGGACGGTGCCTCCCGACTCCCCCCCAGGATGCTCCCCCCGATGGTGATGCTGGCACCCTCCCAGGGCACATTCCCAAATACAGTTTCCATCAGAACTGCATGTTTATTCTTTTTTATCTTAATACTACATATTAACCTTGCCTTTTCATCTGTCATGTGGTCTTCCCCACTCAGCTGACTTACCTGGTGGCCATTTTTCAAAGAGAAACCTTGCCGTCTTACAGGAATGTAGCTAGTGTGTAGAACTGCTGGCGGAGCCCACCCATGGCCCCCGGCGCCCCCGCTGGTGCAGAGCAGAGCCCAGGCGCAGCACCCAGCCCGTGCCCCCGGCCTTCGGTCGCCCTGCCCAGCCACCCGGAGGGCATATGCACCCCCTCCCCCTTACTTCCAGGATCTTCAGTGTTTGCCAAACCCGGGCAAGTACATTGTACTTTAAAGAAGAGTTTTATGACAGTCTTGACTATACTATGATCTGAAAAACAAGAGTTAAAAATGAAAGCCTACCCTCTATTTTGAACCCTGTTACTTTTGAGACCTAGTAAGACCACTGACATTTATAGAGTCGAAATTGCTTGACAGTAATGATAAACTATCATAGCTTTTAGTGGTTAGGTTGCTCCCAGCATTAGCTCCATATAACTTTGCTTTTGCTTTCCCAGACATTAATTTTTAATATCCACGTGGAAATGTTCTAATCCACTTCCTCTAAAGCTAATGCAGGGTAGACGTTTAGTTGAGTTGTGGCATTTTGTTTTTCTCAGAAACTTTTTGCATTGTTAGTCTATGAAAAGACTGTGTGTGCGAGCTCAGTCTTGTCCAACTCTTTATGGACTGTAGCTCTCCAGGCTCCTCTGTCCATGAAATTTTCCAGGCAAGAATCCTGGAGTATGTTGCCATTCCCTCCTCCAGGGGATCTTCCCAACCCAGGGATCAAACCTGTGTGTCTTGCGTCAGCAGGTGGATTCTTTACCACTGAGCCACCTGGGAAGCCCTGTGAAACCCCATGAAAAGGCTAGATTATCTCAATATAGTAATATTATATTATAATCATAATATAATTGTGGATCATTGTTCCACGACTTCAGTATCTATCGAGTGCCAGTAACATGCACTGAAGAGAAGATAGTCCGTCTCACATGCGAGGGCTACAGCCGAGACCTGATTAATCTAGTTAGCGTGATTACTTCTCAATCTCAAAGTAAACCTAAAACTGCTTCTAAAGTTACCCACATTTCAATCACCTCTCTAAATCCATCACATCTGTCAGCCTCTCAAACAATTTCATTGTGAGGCATTTTATCTAAAGTGTTTTTAAACTCTTCCTGTATCATCTTCATAAGTTTTAAAATGCAGCTTTCCAAAGATAATCTCATTATTTCTCCCAAAGGAATCTCATTGTTCCCGCAAAGAATGTAAGGTTTCATTTTCTAACAAAAGCAAGCGTGTTCCCTTCAGAACATCCTGCCCTTCACCCGTTGTTCCTTCCAAAACATGCAGTGACTTCTTTTTGATGAACGCATGTTGTAAATCTTCTGAAAGGAAGAAACACATATCTTGTGTCCTTGTGGTCATTTGAAGAGCTCCCAAATTTTTTTTATCTTCAGTCTTGGTCAGTTAGAAGCAAATCTAAATCTTAGTAATTTGCAAAGACACGAAATTGTGCTATAACAATGCATCGTGTAATCATGGTGAGGGATATACAAATAGACACGTAATGAAATTGCACAGAAATAAACACACAAGCATAGTGAACACACTACAGAACTCAATTCATCACTTCTACCACGTTTTAGTTTACTCAACTTGAAACACTGCAATGGTCATTGAAATAGTTATTTTTACTATTTGGCCCCAAGTTCTTATGAAATATCCATCTTGGGTTTCATGTTGGGCCAAGGAAATCTGGCTCCTCCTCATCTCTGGCTCCTCTGCTCTGTGACTGCGAGCTGATCACTCTGTGCCTCAGTTTTTGACATTTACTCTAAGAATTTAACCTTCCCTGTTTCGTAGAAGTGCTATGAGAATGAACTGAATTGATGCCAACTTGGAAACACTTAATCAGAATTCAAAAAACAGATGAAAACATCTTCATTCTCAGTAAATGAATCCCTCTGCTCCTTGCAGAAGATTCCAGTTTGCATTTTAAAAATTAATATATTTTGTAATTTATTTCACACTTGTCTTCTATTTGATTATTTTCAAATTCTAAGTGTTGGACTTAGTCACAGTGAGCTTGTGCACTTCTCAAAGCGTACATGTTCCTTTTTGGGGTAAATGCTCTATTTTTGCCAGTGTGCGTGTGCTCATTCAGTTGTGTCCGACTCTTCAACCCTATGGATTGTAGCCCACCAGGCTCCTCTGTCCAGGCAAGAATACGGGAGTGGGCTACCATGCCCTTCTCCAGGGGATCTTCGCAACCCAGGGACTGAACCCGCATCTCCCGTGTCTCCTGCCTTGGCAGGCGGGATCTTTACCACTAGCGCCACCTGGGGAGCCCATGCCAGGCGTCAGAGCTAATGTCTCTACAGGACTCGGCTTCTGGGGACCCCACACAGTTTCTGTTCACTGCCTCATAATACCGTACTCCAGTTCTGTTATCAAAACACCGTTGAAAACTGAGCTTCAAGGAAAACACAGAACTAAGTGGTCCCGTGTTTCTCACCAACCAGCCCTTCTCCAGTAGACCCAAAAGTATAAGGACCTAAGGCAGGATGAAAGTTGTTTTCTCTTTTATTAGAAGGGAAAACCGTTCCCTGCTTCTGAAAGGAAGTTTGTTGAATTGCTGTTGAATTTTAAAGGAAATGGAGACATCCAAACCCAAAGAAGAGTAATGCTCCCTGTAAACCTATTAAAGAGAAAGGGCCCTCACCCGGTTATTTGAGACCACGGAGGGGACCCAGTGACGGAAGAGAGTCAGTCCTCGAATGTAGAGAAGCCACAGCAGTCTCTCTGTGACTCAGGAAGAAAGCAACCTGTTGGGAGGGATATCAGGATAAACTCCTCTTTGATCCCAAAACCTGTTTCAAAGGAAGACAGGGCAGGAGCTGGCTGAGAGGCAGCGCCTGGTACCGCTGCCGACCCGCCTGGCGGTCCGGACTCTGCCTGTCTCCTGGTCCCGCGCTGGGCTCTTTCTCTGCCCCCGTTTCTCCCTCTGTGGAAGGCGGGCGATGACGGTGCTGGCCGCTCAGTAGTAACTGACAGGAATGGAGGTGCTTAACACAGTACACGAGCGTGAGCACACACTCAAAAATCGTTGTGTAGAACTAGGTGGCTATGAAGAATGGACTCTGATTTTTTTTGGTTATTAGAGTTCAAAGTATTATGAAAGGCAAAATAGCTTTTTTCTTTTCCACTCCAGCAAGAATGTTTCTCGGTAAAATAAATCCTGACACATTTCATATTTTCAGGATCACAGATGTTCTTTCCCCTGATGAGTAAATACTGTGGAATGTTATAGTGGGAACGTCTTCCAAGCGTGTTTGGTTCAGCAGTTGCTCACCATTCACAGCTTTCCCGTGTGGAGTCTCATGCACTGGTGCGCGGGGCGCTCGCTGCAGCCGCGCCTCTCTGCGAGTGCGCCAGGGAGGCTGGGTGCACGAGGCGGGCGTGTCCGAGGCCCGAGTCGCAGCAGGCACTCTCGTTACAGGTGATCGCCGAGCTGCAGGGCACCGTCTCCTCACTGCGGGAGGACAGCAGCCGGCAGCAGCTCGCGGCCGAGCGGCGGCTCCAGGACGTCGTGCGCAAGTTTGAAGACGAGAAGCAGCAGCTGATCAGAGAGAACGAGCGAGCCGTCCAGGTAAGGCGCTTTCGCGTGGCTGCCGGCGGGCGAGGCAGCCGCGGGACCTGGTGTCCAGCTCGCCTGCCGGCCTCGCGTGCACTGGTCTCTGATGAGGCCGGCCCTGTGAGGCCACGTGCCCACGGGGACAGACACCGCAAGCCCAGCACACTCACAGCCGACACATGCTTGAGAGCCGCCCCACGTTCACCCTAGGCCCCTTGGGGCCGCCTCTGGCCAGAGCGAGCGCGTTGGCACCACTGGCGCGTAAACGCACAGGCAGCCCCAGTTTACCTGCCCCTGTGCACCACATCCCCGCGACCCTGCGGGGGTCTGATGGGCGGACACCCGCTCTGTGGCGGCCCCGCCTCCGTAGGCTGGGTGAGCCCCTGGGCCTATCCGCGGTCACAGGGTAGCGTCGTCCTGACTTCACCGCAGAGAGCATGGGTGAAAGCCTCTGCGTCTTGCGGGGTTTAATGTGAGGATGAGCGTCCGGAGACTTTATAAGTAACATTTAAAGAGAACAAAGCGTGTATTAAAGAATCCCCAGCAGAAGATGGTTTCTCGGTCATTTGACTTTATTGCAGCGGTGCTGAGCGCATGTAGGTAATCATATCAGCACAAAGCGCAGAAAAAGAAAAGGAGCGCTTGGGCTTTCTCACGCCTTTTCTGCCCAGTCCCTCCATCTTTCTCTTTTCTGGCCTTTTGTAGGCCATCTGCGTGATTTGGGGGAAAGTCAGTGTCAGCGTAGTTTGCTTTTTCATATATACCCCTTACGCCTGGACAGCGGGGAATAGAAGGGAAAATCTTAAGATGTGGACAAAATCTTCGAGGCCAGTATACCTGCCTCCTGACCAGAGGTGAGGCCGTATTTTGTTGTTCATGAGATTTTTCCCAGAGTTTTTACATCTGTTGAGTGTTTCTTTCCCCCCTACATGTGATGAGACACAAAAATGTGTTTCTTTTTTCATATTCTGGTAATTTTTTAAAAATCTTTGAATTTTCATTTATAAATGCAGGAAAAAGTCCACATTGGTCTGTAGAACTCTTTTGCTTTGTATGAACTAAGTTGACTACTTTCTTTCAACTGTTTTGCTATATAAAGATTTCATTTTAAGTGAATTTCTTTTCCACTTGAAATCCAAATACTGTGTTGTAGGTAATTGCCAAATTTTAAATAAATAATTGGATCCCAACATTTGCAAAATGGAAAACATCAATTTACCCCGTAACAACATAATTTCTAGTATTGTTACTTAAAGATTAAAAAAAATCTTGAAAGAAATATAATTCATATAACTGCCTAGTTTGGTTTATTTTTGCAGTTGTAATCCGTTTACCTGTTAAAACAGAAAAACCTTCTGATCCTAATTTCCAGCCAACCATCAAATCATAAAGACTGAAGCTGAAGTTAAATGATGACAGACATACATTGACACACATACACTGGGCTTCCCTGATGGCTTAGTGGGTAAAGAATCTGCCTGCAATGCAGGAGACGCAGTAGACGCAGGTTCGATCCCTGGGTTGGGAAGATTCCCTGGCGAAAGAAATGGCAACCCGCTCCAGTATTCTTGCCTGAAAACCCCAAGGACAGAGGAGCCTGGTGGGCTACAGCCCAAAGGCGGGGGGGTCTCAAAGAGACAGACACAACTAAGCACGGAGGCACAGCATACATACACACATATACACACACACACATACATATATACATATATATATACACACATATGCACACACACATACATATACACACACATATATATACACACATATGGACACATACACACACATATACACATACATACACACATATACACACATATATACACACATATATATTTGTAGTATATAATGAGCAAAACTTAGATACCTGAAAATAATTAAAATTACAATGTAGATAAGGTGTGCTTGAGGTTTGATTCATTCATTTATACTGTGGTTGAAGTGGGTTGAAGTGCATGACTTTTTCTTTACTAGTCTATATCAGTGTTAATGTGTTAACACTCGTTGCCTTGCTTTTTTTTTTTAAAGGCTATGTCACAAAAAATAATAGGAATGATAGCTAGTATTTCTTCAACAAGTATTGTGTACCAGGCTCTCTGCCAAACATTTCCATACATCCCATGTTGCATTGTCTCATTTAAGTCTTATAAGTATTCTTTACAAGGAAGGCACTTGCACTGCCCCGTCTTACAGATGGGAGAGTCAAGGCTCTGGGGTGAAGTGACCCCCGAGGACAGGTTCAGTGTCTTCTGACTCGAGAGCCTCGGCGACTTGACCGTGCGCAGAAGCCCCGTGTCCACACTGCCTGTGACAGGGAGTCAGGGCCCGGGTGCATCGGCGAGCTCGGGAGCCCTGCTCTCATTTCCCGGCTGCCTGAAGGTGGCTGGCGCCTTTGCAGCAGTTGTTCCTCTCGGCGTTTTAGTCGTGTTTGCTTTGTAGGCGCAGATACACGGATGGAGTTACATAGTCAGAGAGAGACAGTCACCAAATAGTTTCTGAGACCAAGTACCTTTGTCTGCATATACACTCAAGTAAGCTGACGAGGACCTATTATTCGTAGTGTTAGATATTAGTGTACTTAAATGTTGGCTGTCAGCAGCGCTGTAAGAACGGGAAGCGTGCGTCCGCCCACCTTCCGGGCTGGAGGATGGGGCGGGCGCCAGACCCAGCAGCAGGCCGAGCCGTGGAGGGCCCGTGGGTTAGGGCACGCGGGCCTTCCCTCGCAGTGAGGCGCTAGGCGGAAGCGGAGGTGTGTCCAGCAGGCTGAAAAGCCCGCCACAGGGCCGCCAGTCTGGAGAACAGCCCGGAGCAACTCTCACTGTTCGCTCAGCCCAGAGACACCGTCTCCAGGACCCGCCCCGCGTGGCGGGTAGAGGCGCCCGAGCCTTGGCCAGCGGCGCGCTCCTTCTCACGCTCCGCCCGTCGCGGGGCTCCGGTTGCGGGACGGCCGCCCCGGCACCAGCGTCCCGGCTGCTTCGCGTGCTGTGCCTTAGCCCAGCACATCAGCCGACAGCGCAGCGGCGCAGAAAGCGGCGCCGCAGAGGGGTGCTTCGGGTCTTAGCGGTGCTCACGAGATCGTTTCAGTGAGAACGCAACTTACACAGCATGGCGTACGGAAGGGGCTGTCTCTGCCACCCAAAAGGTACATATAAACAGAAGAAAGGCTGGAATTATGCGTCAGCATTTTGCTGGTGGACACTCTTAGTGGTGGAGTTTGTGGTAATTTTCCTCTCTTACCTTAGCTCTATACTTAAGTTCTTAATTAATTTAATTGGAGAATAATTACAATATTGTGATGGTTTTTGCCATACCTCAACACGAATTGGCCACAGGTATACAAGTGTCCCCGCATACTTTAGTTGCAACACCACTGTTACAAGAGACAGTGAAAATTGTTTGCTAGGGAAGAAAACGCCTTGGCCCGAGGGAGTTCAGAGGCGGACGTCAGGGAACCCTGCGGGTGAGACCCACAGTGGGCATGGGCCTTGCCGTCTAGGAGACGAGGAGGGGGGCGCGCTGTGGAGGGGAACTCCTGGGGCGCAGAGAGGGTTCTGGAAACACGGCCCCCGAGCAGACGCTTTACGCTGAGGTACACCCGGCCTCGAGGGCGGAAGTGCTCATCGCTGCTCACTGCTTCCGTCCATCCTCAGCTTGGAGGCGAGCTTCTGAAGAGGTCTGTCGCTGCTGTGTAACAAGCCGCCCCAGACCCCGGGGGTTCAGACGACAGCTGTTAGGCGCGCCTGAGTCTTGGCCTGGGGAGGGCGGGCGGCGGCGGGCGGCGGCGGGCGGCGGCGGGCGGCGGCGGGCGGCGGCTCTGCTCAGCCGGTGGCGCCGCCGCCGCCGCCTGTCAGCGTGCTTCTCCCGGAAGTTCGCGGGCTGCAGTGCCCAGGACCCTGCCTGGCCTCTTTCGTTTTGTTTTACGAAAATCTACTCGATTGTTGTTGTAAAAGTGGATAATGGCACATGCTCATGAATAATTCAAAGTGCAGTGGGGAAAGGGAAAAATACCTGAAGTCACCGCAGAGTTCATCACTCAGAAGTAGCCAACCGCCTTAGCAGTCAGGTGCGGTCATTTCAGGTGCCTGACTGTTGCGGGGAGAAAGGAGAACCAGATGGACTGGTGAGCTGGCTTAACACTCTAGAGTCTCTATTTCTGTTAGGCTTAGAAAAATCTCAAGTTGATTTTACTTAAATTCAGCAGATGGGTGAATCCAGAGTTAAACAGGAAGAACTGTTAAACTTTGGGGCAGAATTTGAGTTTTGGCTGAAAACTGAGTTCATTAGAATAACATGCGTGCTCCCTTGACCCTCTTCACGCCTCTCGCCTGGGGTGTACACTGTGTTTATGACACTCACACAGTTTGTCTCTAACTGCAACCTTACTTAATACCCACACTGTCTTTAAAGGATGTGGTGCTTCCCACCAGGCCTTTTATAATCAGCCTTCCACACTCCCACCCCTGAACCTCCTACTTTCATGTGGTTCCAAATGGGCTGGATTTCATGGGCAAGTGGTTCCTTCAAGACTCACGCTGCTGCCTTCCCCGGGTTTTTCCATGTTTAAGAATGTCTTCTGGGACGTCCCTGGTGATCTAGTGGTTAAGAATCCATGTTTCGATGCAGGGGGTGAGGGTTTGGTCCCTAGTTGGGGAGCTAAGATCCCACCTGCCTCACAGCAAAAACCCCAGAAAAACAACAGAAGCAATATTGTAAAAAATTCAGTAAAGACTAAAAGTGGCCTGTATAAAAAAAAATCTTTAAAAACAGTTATAAAAAAGTCTGCTGATTAACCCTTACGGTTGAATGACCTTCGAGATGGACATAGTGTCCTTATCTTCATTTTCACCTGAAAGCTTAGATGTTGCTCACCTGGCACATAAAACTGCTGTGGGGAAAACTTGGCAAGGGCTGAGCTTTCCCAGGTCGGTCGTTTGCTTTTTCTAGGGGATTCCCAAAGAAGTCTGTCTTTATCATTAAGCTTAATAGATTAACATGGATAAATTCTGCTTTTAACC